ATTGATTCGTGTGAATTGACCCTGGAGGAATTTTTTTTGATGCACGCAGCAATTTTTGCATTGACCTCGCACTCTAGAGAAGTAAATCCCATAGGCGAGTCATTTAGGGATGCACTTCGTTTAGATGACGCAATAGTGCAGCCAAGAAATTTGATTAATTAAACCTGGAGGTCTACTCTCATCTCATCTGGAATGACTAATGCTTAAAATCAGTCGACTCATTTGGGTTTGTCCCTCAACGGTTTCGCCGAAATGACTCAGAAAGAATCTTCGCCTCAAGGAAATTACCAAACAAGTCACGAATTTGCATTAACGCCGCTCGGTTAAAACAAAAGAATCTGACAAAAACAGAATAAGTACAGTCCGACATAAGTTAAAGAAACAAAGGGGCTGGGAGAGTATTTGGGACAGCGCGTTCAGAAAACTCCTTACTTCTCAGAGCATGATTTTTTTGTGACCGTTTGTTTGTTTTTTTTCCGAGCTCTGTTTCACTTCTCTGTCCTTCATCCAGTCACGAAACTTATAGGAGTGATAGGAAAACTAAGGGTGGCTGTTGCAAAAAATAGAATGGCATTGTTGCAAAAAATGGAATGGCATAGTTGCAAAGTAAGGCCGTACAGAAGAATAGGAATGAAGCTTTTAACTGAAGTGGTGCTCCCAGGCAGAGACTTTTATAACTAACTATCGTTGAGAGACGTGTCACACGGATTGCCAGCAGCATTTTTCAGTCTTCTCGTTGGTGACGCGGTGATAACGTGATAGCGACTTTTGTCGCAATCCACGGAACAGTTCTGCTTGAGATGGGACTCAAAGTTCGCGACCCGATTATAAACGTGCGAGTGAAATTCTCAATTAACTCTCATTGTCTCAACTGATAATGATGTCACGAAAATCTAGAAATCGTAAGAATACTTATATTCTATTTTAAACACAACTGCACATATTAGCCTATTTAAAGCAAAATTCACCAAGTCCACGCAAATGTTTGAATTGTGTAACTTCTGGATAATGTTTAAAAAGCTGGAAACATTTATGAAAGAAATTAATTTAATCTTAATAACGCTCCTAAAATTTACTTGTTACTTAAATATTGTGGAAATTTTGAAAGGTTAATAACAGGCTCTAAGTACACTATAAACAGATGTTACGTAATCTTGTGAACAATAGAATTAACCTTGCAAGCCATTTTTTAAGTGGTTTAGAGCTGTTCATGACGCGTAATGAAGAGTTTACAAATCATTGGTCATTTAAACGTGTTCTGTTTACAAAAAATTAAAAAGAACGTGCGATGAATACGACAGACGTGTCTTTGCGCAGCCCCCCCCCCTCCCATTTCATGCGTCCAATGATTTTTTCTTGCGTTTTGTAAATTGAAGGACCTCGTAGAGCGTTCAAAATCTTGGGCTATATTAATAACCCCTACTCTTATAAAAGCACGAGGACTTTTTCAGCGATCTCATTTCCTCTCAAGAGGCCCTAGGATATTATGGACTGAATAAAGTGGATTACATTTTGCAATATGGAACCACTATTTCTGGCCCATTTTAGAAACAGCACACATGCCATTGGTTCCCCTATGCAGTTATGTGTTTTTACGGGAGAGCCAAGAATAGTGTTCCTTATTGCAAAATGAAGTCCAAGTAATCCTCAGAAACTTGGCAATGATGAGAGATGTATTTCTAAAGGTAGCCTACTTTTTCGTTCGCGTCATTTTTGCCTATCACCTCCCTCCTACGCACCCCTTTCACTCTTTCCTCAACGGTGATCTTTTTGTACTCCTTCCATCGAGAAAAGAGGTCTTTTGTTGAGCGATGAACTTGCATTCTATGTTGGTGAAGTGAAACTTGTTTCTCTGACAATGCTACGTAGCTTTGCATTGCGTCGCGCTGCGCACCGCGCCGTCTATTATTAGAAGTGGTGGGTGTCCTTAGTGCCAAATGGAACCAATAAATGCCTTTTTTATTCGGAACATAGCCGATATGGATATAATGAATCACTATAAGTAGAACGAGTGTATAGAGTTCGAGGAAAAACAAATCTAGCAAATTTTACTTTGAAATTTCGTGTAGAAAACCTAACTATGAGTTGAGATTTAGGCCATTATTATCTTTACGGGAACATTCTTCCATTAAAGAAATGTAATTTCATGCCATCATTTTTAACGTGTTACTAAATTGTTGATGACTGTTTAATTGTTTTCAACTTTGATACCTGGCGGAATTATTGATTTTTCGATGCACTCTAAACATACGTGTAGCTTTTAAAATGTCAAGGTGGGCAAAACTTTATTATCTGGTCCCTTTATAAATTTTGTACTTGCGGAAAGTAGTCTCAAAAGTAGAACACCTCCTCGCTCTATTGTAAAATGCGATAAGGAAAATTAGTCTGGGATGTTTTTCGAAGATTATTTGGAGTGAATTTTGCAATTCGGACCTGTAAATTCTGGCTTATCTGAAAAAATACTTACGTGTAAAGGGAAACTAATGGCACATACGTTGTTTTTTAAACCGGGCCGGACTTTATAGTTCCGAATTTCAAAATGTAGTCCATTTGGCATACGGCTAAATTTTGAGTGTATTTACCCTCATCAGCCATCTGAACGAGGTCAATTTTGTTATACAACATTTTTTAGGGGAATTGCCTTTGCACTACAAAGACTCAGATTTTTCTCAGAAAAGTGTGCTGGCCAGGCCGCAACCCAAGAAATGGCTCTAGTTACACTTATGATTTTAAATGGTTTTATCTTACATTTTTTTGCTCATTCAGTGTTAGAGGTGTCCCAAACTTCCTTTCCTCCTCATAAAAAGTGGCTTTGATTCGAGATTTCTTCTCTTCCCTTGCAAAAAGATTTTCTGACAGAGGCAAGCGAAAACGCGGTCTGATATTCATACTTACCGTGTTCTTTGGGTTCATGTGAGATCCATTGTTCAAATAGGTAGTGCAAGGTAGTTTTCTGTATTTCGCTGGATGATGATACTACATTATTGATACTTGGTGCGCACTCACGCGCGATCAAAATGAGTGATTGTAACACCTGTCGCCAATTCAAGGTTTAATGATTGTGGGCACATGAATCACTCAATGCCATTGACAAAACTGATGGTGAATTGTGCGGATCCGGGAAGATCGATCGATCGGCTACATACGCAATAATTGGCCTCTAGGACGAGCAGTTACTTCACTTCTGAGGACACCCTGAGAGGATACCCGGACACTGTGCACTGTGCAGCGCCCTATGCAATACGATTCGCGGTGCGACAACGCACACATGTGGGTCACGCTCACAACATGATCCTCTTAGGTCCGCCTGTATCACTTTATTGTTCACTGGAAAGAAAAAAAATAATTTTTGGATCTAGAGTCCAGACTATTGAAAAAAATACTCTTGGTTCAATCAGATTTTTGCTTAAATTTAAAGGAAATCCGCCTAAATGAGGAGGCTTGGTTCTTGATTTAAGCAAAAATCCGATTGAATCAAGAGTATTTTTTCTTGTCTATGTTTTTAAGAGTCAGGACTCTACATTCAACGTGTTTTTTTTCCCCAGTGTTGAAAATTAACCAACCATTTGTATGTTGAGCCTGAAGAGGTTCCACTACTCCCCAATTTAAAGACATTTTTGCTCTTTTATTTAAAATTAAGTAATTTGAACCTGTTATGAAAGTTATGACCCGATTGGTTAATCCGTAACATTCGTTACAGACGTGTTATCCGTATGTCCTCATATGTCTGTCTGAAAATGTAGCAAAATCAAACAAAAAAAAGAGCCTTCTGGTGCTGTTCATAAGATGCGGCATGTTCTAGGGGGAAGTCTGAGTTACGGATGCATAATGGAGGCCAAAGGGGTGGGGTGCGGGGAGTAGTCCTGGACTATCTTACGCATAATACCGTAAGGGTTGTTTTTTTTCGAAAATTTAAGATAAAATTTCGACGAGGTGGCAATATTTCATCCAAAATTCAATGTCCATGTAAGGAGAGAGATTCACATAGAGAGTGCAGACCTGATTCATAGGTGCATTACGAGGGGGGGGAGAGGTAGGGGGTCAAAAAATCCTATTTTCAGCGTTACGTATAAACAGCCACTGACATAAGTTCCAGTTCCAAATTTTCTGCAAATGATATTAAATGCAAAGATGAATAGGTGACTTTAATGCTTTGAAATGACTTTTATAAATAGATCTGTGTTCAAGTTAAAACAAACTTCCCTAAATCCACTACTCGAAATTAAAACGTTCTGTCTGAGTAGATGCGGGATTTTGTTTGTCACTTCTAACAGGCAGACATTCTCCCTCCTAGAAGACGCGATTACTTACCTACTGCCGGGTGTATCATGAGTTATTTACTTTTTGTGTTTGAGCGAACTGTTATTGATAATGCTATGACCCACAACGACGCGGCCCGCGTTATTCCAGGTTACATCGATTTTTGATTCGTTTAAACGAGTTTAATGACACCATTTTGAGCCGTCAAAAATTGGGTCACGAAGAATCGATGCGAGTGACCGTTTGGACAATACTCGTCATCGCCGCGTCACGTTCCACATCGCGGAATAGTGCGCTAGAACCGTCAAATTCGGCCCAAAAGACCGCAGTTGCCAGAACTGCCTCAAGAGGGTTCCAAATGACCATCCTATTGTATGAGGGGGTAGACTTTTCACCTTCAGACCTCGGCTTCTCTGTTCAAGATAATTTAAATTTACAGAACAAGATGCCATAAAGACCATAGAACTTTTTTGGGAGATAGACGTCCTTATTTGACTTTTTAATGATATTCTTCGTAAGAGTTAATATTACTAAAAATAAAGATTCCATCCTTAAGGGTAATTAGATGGATGCATTCCATAACCGCTCATCCGTACTGGAGCATTTTGTTCCGAGGTAATTATGGCTACTTGTAGAAATAATTTTTGCCAAAATGTATTTCAACTTCTCAATGCTATCTTTTAGTATAAATTTAGTAGATTTTACTCATTTTGATAATGTTTTTCTGTTTTTCCTTTCAGCGATCGAGATCATGGAGGAATTCTTCCCACAAATTGAGGGAAATTTGACGAAAATCACGTGGGCTCACGCCGTGAACTCCAAAAAACTGCTAAATCAAACTCTAGAGGGTAAGTATCATTCATGTTTGCTTCAAAGTCACTTTTAGTTCTTCGAAAATCTTCTTGATACAATGTTACATTTGTTTTTGATACGGAATAAATGTTCCGGAAAAGTTTACAAACACCAAAGAGCACAAGTATATGAATTAATCGCGTCTCAGGATAACGGTGCCATGCCATATTTTCTAATTATTTTTCTTTTCCTATATCAGGATTTCCTAATACTTTTTTCCTACTCGTTTTTTGTCCCATTACAGTAAGTCCTACGAGTGAGATGTCTCACTGGCTTTTTTTCCTGAGGGTGTTTTTCCCAATAATCCAATAATAATTGAAACGTAAACATGAGTAGAGCAAATGTGGAAATGTTTTAGAAAATGTGAAATTCCCTCAGCGAGCTGAATATAAGCGCGCGAACAGGAGACAGCACAATCTGGGCCTTCGATACCCTCAATACAAGGAAGAGGATGAAGCTCCACTACTTGCGGGCATGCGGCCACAACTTTAACTTATGTGAAGTACCTATGTTGTTTTTTTAAAATCGAATTTAGGACAGATGCCCCTAGGAAAAAAAACCAGTAGGACACTTCACTAATAGGACTAACTGCGATGGGACAAAAACGACTAGGAAAAAAGTATTAGGAAAACTTGCAGTAGGAAACTATGTTTTAGGAAAAATGACTTGCCACCAGGAAAACAATAGTTGCTAGGAAGTGGCTAGCGGTTTCTGTGTTGTCCCGAAAAACAATAATAATTTATGTTGGTGCCATGAATGTTCGGACATAACGGACTTCAAACTCATGATCTTGGTTCGGAGCGCCTTCACATTTTAGTGATACTCTACGCCCTACCGTGGAGTTGGTTTACCCAATCGGAAATTTGACCTTGGTACAAGCTTAGTATGACATTTTTTCACATTTGAATAGAGTTGCCAAGCTTATCTTGCTAATGTTCCCACAATGTTAGCAGGACATTTATTTTACCTCTGGGACAAGCTTGAGCCCAAAGATTGTGCCAAGGTTAGGTTTATAAGACTGCTCCAAGCCTATCCTGACAATATTGCCACAATATTGGTGGGACATTATTTTACTTCCGAGACAAACTTGGATATTCAATATTGTGACAATGTTATGTGAATAATATTGCTCCAAGCTTGTTCAGCGGTTTGTGATCATGATGTTGCCACAGACTTGATTTTATAATATTGCCATAGTATTGGCAGGATATTTATTTTACCTCTGAGACAAGCTTGGATTTCCAATCTTCCCTCTGAGGCAAGGTAGGCGTTAGAACGCCGTAATACCTGCCGTCCTCGCGGAAGTAATTCATTAGCGTCGCAATGCCTATAATGTAGGCATACGGTACATTGGAGTGCCAAGGAACCTTCCTAAGTCAGCTAATTTCCGGCTGCTTGCACTGGCTGAAGTTTTCAACTTGGATCCCACTTGCAACGGGCACTGCCCAGGCGAAACGAGAACCAGCCCCATTCACGGGGCGGCCGCGCGCGGACCGTTGCCAAAAAGCTCCATTTGAGCCCTTGGCCTAAGAATATCGGTAAGATGGGTTAGACGCCTATGGATCATGTGCCTATTACGTCAAAAAGCGAAAGGTCGCAGTTTTTGCCCTTTAATTTGCCCTTAAAGGGACCGCAACGGCAGATCCGCGGCGAGCGCGCCCTGGTGGCGGAAACAGCAAACGCGGTCGAATTGTGCTCGCCGCGCACAATATTGTGTTAATCTTATGACAATATTAGAAACAGAAGCCTAAAATGTTTATTTTCTTAATCTTGTGACAATGTTAAAGTGCGAATATTACCACAATGTTGTAAAAATAATGTTAACATAATATCAATTCAGCAGTTTTAGATATCCAATATTGTGTCAATATTATGACAATATTACGAACAGAAGCCTGTTATGTTTGTTGTTCTAACGTTAATTGAATGTTAACATAATAACAATACCGCAGTATCACAGAGATAACATCGTCTCGTTATTATTTTAGCAATTTTGTTTTCCTAATATTGTGTCAATATTGTGTTAATATTATAAGCAGAAGCCTATATTCAGTATTTTTTTTAATAATGCGCCAATGTTAAAACTAACATATTACTGCAATATTGGAAACACAACTCTACGACAGTATTAGTTTACCAATATTGTATAACCAATATTGTGACAATCTTGGAATCACCGAGCACCACCTGACGTTGGATTTCTAATGTTGCTAATATTGGTGCAATATTAAAATACTAAGGTTATATATCCAGTATTGATGATATATTGTACCAAGATTCTCAGGCCAACCTTACTGTTGAAATATGCTCACAATCTCGCTAAGGTTGCCACAATATTATTCTGATCGGCCTAAGGTCAAATTTCCGATTGGGTAGTTGCTTATCCGCGACCTGAATCCAACAAAGGACATTTATTTCACCACATGCACATGTGAAAGTGTCAGCTTCGTTCACATCTTCGAGGTAGGAAAAGTGTCTAATTGATTTTCGGCGAAGGAATCGCTGAATTGTAATGTTGTAATTTTCTTAGAAGTTTATTATTTTTTATCCATTGCTACAGCGGCTTGCAAATTACTGGCAATAGCCTTCTGCATAAACGTAGTAGCATTGTTTATTGAGATTGTTTCACTATGGAAACGAGATACGCTTATATTTTGTAACTTTGAAGATTGAGTATTTTTTTGTACGATTATAATGATAGTAAAATGCTATTAATATTTTAAGGCAGATGTAATATATCTGGAAGTATATAAACCTTAATGGGTAATGATAACCAATAGGCGCTAAAGAGGAGGAATAAGGACAATTTCATGACATTTTTAGAGGCTTTATTACATAACCAAACTGCAATAAACTTTTTCTTGCTTCAGAGACTTTTATCTAAAAGAGTTTCATCAATTGGTGAATTTTCCTTTCTTCTTTTCTAGAAAAATGATGCGATTTTCATTGCATTAACTAGCTTGATTTCGTATTAACTTTAGAAGTTCAAGCGTCGTTTTAACGACAAGTATTGCCTTACTTCAGGAATGAGTTTTTACATTATAATAATTAAGATATTTTGAGAGGCATGAATCATTCATCGTAGAACTAAACAAATCAAATTTGTACTACAAAAAAGACCACTCTTGTAAACGATGAACAGGACGTCAGCTCAAAATCTAGGTCATTTCATATGAATTATTTTTTCGAAAGTCATGCCGAATGAGGGTTGCGCAAAATTTTTCGGGAACTGGAGGGCATGTTCCTAAGTGATGGTCTATTCGCAAACTCTGAAGAAGTGACTGCATCAAAATTTGGATATTCCTAAAGGACTCGAGGCAGCACGGCGTTAGCAACGTACTAGCGCTATTTCGTGACGCGCGCGGCGGGCAACGTCCGAGCACAATGTCGCGCAGCGCGCGCGACTAGCAAGCGTTCACGCTTGGGGAAACCCACAAATATGATAGGCTACGCCTCGGCAGAATCCACTTTCACTTGGTCTGCCTCAGCGCACAAGCGCCGGATTTAAGCACAAATATTATGCGAATTTCTTCGAGCCGCTGCGCCGCTAAGTTTTCTCGCTAATTATTGCAATTTTCGGAGCCCACTGATTAAAATCTCCTTAATTTGTAAAATTACATACTAGGAACTTGAATTTAGACTAAAAGGTAACATTAGAAAGGACTTGGAGAGTGCACTGGAAAAAAAAAAAAAAAAAAAAAAAAAAAAAAAAAAACACATTGGATCTAGAGTCCCGACTCTTAAAAAAAACATCGACAAGAAAAAATACTCTTGATTCAATCGGATTTTAGCTTAAATCAAGAATCAAGCCTCTTAATTTGAGCGGATTTCCTTTTGATTTAAGCAAAAATCTGATTGAATCAAGAGTATTTTTTCTTGTCAATGCGTTTTCAAGAGTCTGGACTCTAGATCCAATGCGTTTTTTTTTCCCTGTGTGAGCTAGTGAAATACGTGCTTACTACCTTAGTGGTAGTTGAGCCTATAGCTGAGGCATTAACATACTCACCACGAAATAACGTAGTCGATCGGCGATAGAGCCTTCAATTAGCATGCTAGGCAAGAAGTTATACTTTGGAGCACGAACAGTTATCTCCTTAGTTTAGTCCATCCAACGATTAATACTCCCCTCTCTATGAATATTCTTGATTCGATTTGTGGTTATTGCCTTCAATTTAAATGCGTCCTAGGTGCACATCGCACAATTTGTGACCGAATGACCAAACCTTTACATACAGGGAATGAAAAGTGTTAGGGACTTTCCCCTAAAATTGTGGTATCACCCCTATTTATTGGATAACTAGCAAAATGCTAGTGACTGGAGTCACGGGTCTAGAGGCCGCTAAAATATCTATAACTCCGAAAAAATGGTGGTAGGGGAGCAACATAAAAAAAAAAAATGTTAAAATCGATAGAAAAATGAGATGTCGGGTAACTATTGTAGGTGGGATATGGACTTATCCAATTAATTTTGGTAGGACCGCAACTCAAGTTGGGGTAACACCGCAAAATTTTGGTTCGTAACCTAATTTATCGGAGCACCAAGAAAATTAATTGGGGTACTACCACAGTTAATAGTAAATTTCCATATCAGCAAACAAGTGGAACATAACCCCTACCTCTTTTTCCCCGTGTAATTTCTCAAAGACAAATGCTGAAATACTAGCGATAACTACTTCGAATTTTTGGCGGGAAAATGCGCCACTTACGCCATGGCTGCGACAACAATGGTCGAATAGAGGAGGCAGAGATGTCCGCCCGCGCCGCGCCGGGCGTCGCGGCGCTTTGCCGCGCGGCGTCGGCGTCCACTCGCGGAGAGACGCCGCGGCAGACGCGCGTCACCTGGCTATCCCGCGCGGCGTGCACTATTAACAGCACCGACCTTGGACTCACTAGAGTTCCGGCAGTGATGCAATATTTTATCGATTAGCGCACGCTGTTGGCCCCAAGATCGCCGGGCCTCACCTCAGTGGCGTGGCGTGCTTTGCGATGTATCGAT